CTGTTAGAGATTTGGTTGATGATCAGAAGAAGCACAAGGCAAACCTTGTCTTCACTTTCTTTGTGATTTTCTATTACAATGAAGTACTTTAGCATATGCCTAAAGTTTTGTCCTCTTCTAGTGTGGCATAAATTTATGCTCCTACCATCCTGCAAAGATTATCCTTCATTCGTGTTTTGACTGTCCTGTTGTGTTGTTTGTTATAAGAATTCTAAGACATGAATTCCTGCTTGCCACAATAGACCTTATCATACTATTGATTAGGAATCTAATCGAAAAATGAAAAAAAAAAAAATCTAATTATTTGAGTAATTGTAAGAATGTGAATGTATTGATGAATTCAAACAAGGGTGACTGCTCTAGGAAACCACAAATAATGAGGAATGATATTGGAGAACTAGTCTTAAAGAGGCAAGGTGTGAATGCAGTACTTGCATCTCCTTATAATATGAACATCTTCCAAAGGTTTGCTCCCTTTTCTGTTCATAATGAAAAACCAGCAGTTAAAATTAGGCAATTATCTTTTCTAGTCTATTAGCATGCTAAATGGTAGAATCTGTTGCAGCTCTTAGTGTCTGCATTTCTCTGTTGGAACAACAATCCAAGTTCGGGAATGCTTTGGAAATTCTTTCTGGGAAATTAGGATCACTTATAATGATTGATGTCTATGATACTGCTTAACATTCAATACATCTAAATTGTTTTTAAATCATATAAGCTTGATTTAAATGATGTTAATAAGGTAGACAAGAATGGTAAAGTCATATAGGTTATTGATTGTGAATAGAAAGAATAGGATGATCTGTTGCATTTTCTTTCCTAAGATTTAATAGAGATAGAATAGGAGAAAGAAAAAGAAATTCTGGAAGTTCAATGGGGAAAAAGCCGAAGATATTTGTAGTGGGTTTCTCTCAATTGATCTATGTTTGGTCCTGTATCATTGTCATAAGGAACCATTACTTGTCAAAGCTTAATGAATAGTTTCAGGGTTATGATGCATGGCTGTAATTTCCATGGCATTGGTTCTTGATTTTGAATGTTTGGTTGCACCTTCAGTTTGAGTAGATTATACATGAAAATTGATTTTTTGGGGGTTTCTTTACAGCATTTTTTGATTGGAAGGTGGTTTGGAACTCTTCACAGAACTTCTACAACGTTTTCTTAACAACATACACATATTACTTGAAATGGCAAAGGTATGCATTTCAGTGAAGTTAAGCTTGTTATGTTTGCCAAAGAAGTTTAGACTTTGCTACCATTTTGTACTCAAGGCTGAATGATTTATGTTTTGTCCTTTGCTTTTGTACTGAAATATGTAGGCCACTTCTATCTTCTCTCATGATATCATTCTTTTTTTTATTATTATTATAAATATTCTAAAGTTCTTAATTTTGGATATTTAGAATATAGCTTAGTTGCATCAAGAACCTAATATATGGAGTTTCAAGGTATCCCGAACAGCTATAATTTTGATATTGATGTTTCTGATGTATGTTTTTACGGCGGTCATAATTTTTGTTTGCTCATCCCTTTGATTTTGATCCTTTAACAGTTCTCATTGCCTTGTGAATGCAAACAGTTAAGAGAGGTAGTGTTGACTGGGAAAACAGCATCAAGGTTGGCCAAAATGGGGTTTGATAATTCATTTGATTTTAATTTAATGATTTTAGATTTGTATTACATCTAATACCAAATTGTACACTCGTTCCCTTTATATGAATGGATTAGTAGAACTTAAACGTGTTTAATTATGTAATTATTAGGTTAATAAAATAATAATAATAACACTAAATAAATTTTTTGGTGACTAAATGTTTAGTAGCCAAAAAAGCAAAATAAAACTTATTGGCTACTAAAAATTTAGTAGCCAAAAACAAACCAAAGATTTTATGGCGACTAAAAATTTAGTAGTAAAAAATATATGAGACTTTAGGCGACTAAATAGTTTAGTAGCTAAAAAAAATATGAAAATTAATTTTTTTTGGCAACTAAATATTTGGTAGCTAATAATAAATGATACTTTGGGCGACTAAAAGTTTTAGTCGCTGAAAATGAAAATTAATTTTATTTAAAACTTTTGGCGACTAAATATTTAGTCGCCAATTTATGACTTTTGGCTACTAAAAAGTATTTAGTCACCAATACCTCGTATTTTTCCCTACTAAAACATTAGTATCCGTTTATAGGACTTTTGGCGACTAAATTGTTTTTAGTCGCCAAAACCTTCCCCGACCGTTTTTCCACGACAAATCTAGCCACCAAAATATTTAGTCGGGAAAAGGCTTCGGCGACTAAAAACCTTACTTTTAGCGACTAAAACTTTAGTCACCAAAAGTGCATTTTAGTAGGTGTTTTATTTTTGTTTGTTAGTTTCTTGTCAACCAAATGTGCTTGTTTGTTTTGGGTGCTTGCCTTCTCGTTTTTCACTTTGTTTATTGTTCATGCTTCTTTAGAATTAAAAAACTCATGAAAATGAGGGGTTTGTTGTGCAGATGTGAGCAGCAATAGTAGAGTAGTTTGCACTCTCCGAATCTCTCTGTATTTATTTCATTTTCTTGTATATTTTATTTCATGTTTATAGTAATAATTATGTTGTTATTTTAAATATAAGGTAAATTATATTGATTTTTTAAAAAAATTATAAAAAAAATACAATAAGTTTCACATAATTAAATTAATTTTTTTTTAATGAGATTAAATGGTCTGAAATGTACGCAGATGGTACAAAAATATAAATTTAAACTATGTAAAGTATATATTTTCATGTAAAAAAGGTGATAACATCATTTTTTTTCCCAGTCATATAACTAACAAATTATTGATGAAAAATGGATTAAGTATTATATGAATTAAAATCTCAAAAAATTTCAATGTAATTATATCAAAGGTATAAAACTTATTGTATTTTCTCCAAACCTTTAAAGAGGTCAGTGTAATTTACTCTTAAATATATTATGATAAAATTTTCAAATTTAATTATAAAATTTCATATTTAAATAATTATTTATAAATTTAAAATATTCTATTTAAATAATTAATGCTTAAATTATTTTATTTTAAATTCAACATGGTGTCAGTAAAATGTATTTACTAACAAGTGAAAAATAATATAAATATTAATAATTAATATTTTTTATTAATTTATAATTTTTTTTTTTTTTTGCACTCTCACACTGTCATGTAATTGTCCCTTCGTTTTATATCAAACCAAACTGGCTAAAGAAAATAAATTTCTTTTCTTTTTAAAAATCAGCTAATGAGTAGATGTTCAAGAAAATCCAATGGGAAAATTAGCTATAACTGGTACCATAAAAAATATATTACAAAATCATGAAAAAATTTATGTCCAATTATTAATGTGTATAAATTTTATCAATTATTTGTAATTTTTTTTTAAAACATACACCAAATTAAAATTCTCCCAAATCAAATAGACTTCTCATCAATTGCCAAAAGGAAGTGCGAAACGAGACCATGGTGGTCATTGTAGTATGACCGCTATACCAAGACCGAAATTTTTAAAAAATCAACTTTGCCACCACCTTGTTTGGGATCTATGATTTTTAGTTAAAAATTTAAAAAATTATTATAAGTTGTAATATTATTTTTTTTTCTATATATTTTTTTGTAAAAAGTTAAAAATCTAACAAAAATAGTCAATTGCTAAACGAGCCCGGCCACATTTGACAATTTGCTATTTTTAGTTTAAAAGTTAAAAGTTACTAAAAAGTCAAAAAATTAATAAATTATATTAAAAAAAAAGTTAAGGATTTTCTTTTCTCTTTATTTTTGTACTTTTTTTGTAAAAATTTATAAAATCATCCCAAACATACTATTTTTTTACCTCATATTTTAACCAAAAGGTCAAACTAAGTTATCACATCACTCTCTCTATTTTTTACACATCTTTTATAAAAAAATCAAAAAATTAATTAAACTAGCCAATTCTCAAACGAATTCTAAAATAACATATTCCCAAACGAGACGTATTCCTTACTTTTCAAACCACCTCATTACCCAATCACAAAAAAAAATTGAGAAAAAAAAAAAGTCATTTTAATTGTTCAAATTTGCATGGCAATGGCAATGGCAATGGCAATGAATGTCACTCAACTCTTGATTTGATGTGTAGTTTATTTCTCACTTTACCAATTTATATGTAATTATAATTTATGTTGTAATTATTAATTTCTATATTTTAAGTGAAGTGTCTCTTTAACTTTCCTAGTTTTAATTTAAATCTCATATTTTCAGTTTTGTTACAATATTGTCACTCTAACATGCGCCATTAACATTGTGCATGAAAAATAAATAAATAAATAACACTTGCAAAACTAGAGAAATCAAAGTGGAACTTTTTTAAAAAAATATATAGTGCCCGCCAATATAATTTATTCATTACTCCAACTATTCTTATAATTTCTTTTGAATTCCAATTTAGTCTATTTAATTTTGCACATGGTCTTTTTTGTTTAAAATTCTAATAGTAACTAATAGTGGGATCATGTTACAACAAAATTCGAAGTGTAGGATTCAAATTAAAATTAGACGGATCAAAGTGAAATTTCACTAAAACTAGAAGGATCAACAGTTTAATTGTACCCTAAAAAAATTGGATAGATCACTTGTATTTGTCATTCAGCTTCATAATATTTGGCAAATTCATAAACATAGTTAAAAAAAACCTTGTCACGGGATTGAGGCTGATAAATTGCGTTCAAGTATACTATTAGCCTGGTCAAATTTCATTTATCAATACTTCATTCATGGATGAAAAACGCAGTAATTTGGACATAAAGTTATTCTAGTCTAACATTATAATTTAGAGTAATTGCAATTAATTAAATATAATTTTATCATAAAAAAAAAAACGCGACAGCATGATGAAACGCAAGTAGGAAGTAAAAGGTTCCTATTTTTCATTTATTTGCGCCCTTTGGTTTTGCCCTAGCAGGCTCACTCGACTCTCTCTCTCATTCTTGCTTTCTATCTCGCTCTTGCTCTCGCTCTCTCTCTCGCTCATGTACCCATCGTTGTCTGAAGGACTCCATCAGTATGAATCTCTCCCTCGATCTCTCAATCTCTCTATTTCTGTCTCGATCTCTCTTTCTCTCTTGAACTCTCAATCTCTCTTTCGTACAATCTTGCTCTCTCTGTATCTGTGTACATATCTCGCTGCAATTTGCTTGATTCATCGCAGAGAAACCCTATCTCTACTAGTAGACCGCATTGAAAAGGTCTCTTGGAGTTCTCAAATGCAGCAGAGTAAGCTCACCTATCACGCATTGTGTACAAATTAGGTACCAACTCTCTTCAAATTTCCTCTGTTTTTTGTTTTGATTTGTTTCATATTTGTACTTAATCTGGTTTTGTATCTGAGAGTTCCTTTGTTTTTATTTTTTGCACTATAATAATACATTTTTTTGTTGGTTTGTTCTCATTTGAGTTTGAAACTGTGTTTGATCTGGTTTTGTAGATCAGATTTCTTTGGTTTATTGTGATTAATTTAGTTATCTTTTGCTCATCAAATTGATATGACAATCTTACGATTGCAGTTCTTTGTAATTTTATCTAGCGTTAGTCAAATGAAGTTTTCTATGGTTTTTCTTGCAGGTGATTGCAAATTCAATCTCACTATTAAATCCATTTGATGTTATCAAACTTTTAGACTCACTGATATCTATAATCCATCTGATGTCTCTGTAATCCAGCTCTCTTCTCTGCTCTTCGGTACTCTCTCTTTCTCTCTCTCTCTCTCTCTCTCTCTATATATATATATATATCCATGTAATGTATAACTATATACATACATACATTCCATTTCTATGTCCATCAAACGAATCAGATTACTCTGAGACGACGAGTACAGTATTATCTACTGTACAATCGGTATCGAGCAAGCTTTTTTTAACTGCGAGAAATCTCTCTTTGTATGCTTGACTAAGCAATCTCGATGATTGTGAATTTTTTGAATCACGTGATTAACATGAGTTTTGTGATTTTACTTATTATCGTCCATTCTTCCACGATTCAATCATCATGTTTTGTAAATTCTTCGACTACAATGTGAATTGTCTTTGTGATTGAACTCTCAAGTCTTGACTTAACTGTGCATTGAAGAAAATTGGTCTGGTAATTTGAGTTACTTGTCAAAAATAAAAAATAGTAAATAGGATGGAATCAAGAATTCTCTGAATTAGGTAATTTGAAAGGCTATTTTTTGTTTGTTTGTTTTTTTTCCCCCCTCCCTTTGATGATTTTAAAATGTTACATGGCTTGGAGGCACTTAGATTGTACTTAGACTGTGTATGAAATAGAGCTTCTTCTCATTATAAGTGACTTCAATCGGGATAAAATTTATGTGACAATAGTTTTATATATATGCATCTATCTTTTTTCTTCATGTTTTCTAATGGATGGTTGTTAAGATTACTAATAAAAGTTTATGCAAACAATTTGAATTTTGGCTTGATGAATTTGATTGGCTATACTTTGGCACTTCTTCACTTCATCTACTCCTTAAGATGTAGGTCCTTTATGATTGCTGGTAGTTCTAAATTTTGATTTTCAGCTAACCGAGCTCCGACTATTCGATATGTTTCTTGCTGGAAGTACCTTGATCTCATTGATAATGAGTGGGCCAAATAATTCAATCGGGTAGGTAGCTGAACCATACCACATAGTTCTAAAAGAATGAAAGTTGCAAGAAAGGCAGCAGCAATATACTAGAAAGAACTTTTTCAATATTGCCCCTATGCAATCCATTGTATAGATGTTGGGACGTGTGGACACTAAGATAGAATAGACCTGCTAATAAAGATGACGAGTGGTTATTCCTCTCATGAGGTTATTCCTCATCCAGTCCTATGATTTGTTGATGTTCCTAGATACAAGTTTTGCACAACTCCTCCAACATCTCTCAGACCCCCAACCCCAAAAAATAAATGAAGTAAGCTGCATGATCTCAAAATTCATTTCACCATTTTCAAATTCATACAAAGAAAAATTGCAGTTATGCCTCATACTCTCTAAGTAAATGAACAAGTTCTCACTTTATGGCATTAGACTCCATGATTATTAGTAAATGGTTAGAAGTTGCTCACAAGAAAGTTATTCTAAATAATAGTAGAAATGTAAAAGAAAAAAGAGAAATGTGCAGTTGACAACTTAGGACTGATTGATGCTGTATTAATTCGTGAAAGAAGATTTGCTTTATTAGTCAGGAGGAACAAAATGTGTAATTGATGCTTTATGAATTTAGTAATTAATGAGGATTTTGAAATAATAAATTATGTTTGGTTGCCCAGAGGGTTGAAAACTTAACACAAGTTTGCTTTTGGAATCACATTATTCTTGTCCCGGGACATAATAATCATAATAATAGTGATGATGTGGAAGTTAGTGTATTTTTGCTTTTACCTAGATGAGTTGGGGATTGTACCCTACTGAATTCTATTTTACCTTTATAGTATCTATTTTTGTCTCATTATTTTCAAAATTTTAAGTTTGCATACTAGTTTTTCAATTTTCAGGGACAATTTACAACTTTTAAGGCAGCGATATTACTATGCCACATGGAAAGCTGATGGAACACGATATATGATGCTAATTACTTGGGATGGGTGTTACGTGATTGATAGAAATTTTTGTTTCCAAAAGGTTGAGTTGCGGTTTCCTTGCAAAAGCACAAATAAGGTAATCGTGCAATATGCCATATTCATATTCTCTATCCTAAGAATGTTTTTGGTTTCCAAATAAATCAATTAATTCATTAAATTAAAAAAATTGTTAGATGGCCTTTTTCATGTATGTTGTTTGTTGTCAGGGTATATTTGAGAAGACGCACCACTATACATTACTTGATGGAGAGATGGTAATTGACATTGAGCCAAAGACGCAAAAGCAGGAGAGAAGATACCTTATTTATGATCTGATAGCAATTAACCAAGTGTTTATTATGGAGGTTAGACATATCATATATGGTGGCTATACCAATTGAAAAGGCTATTCTACTTGTATAATGTAGTTTTACTCCCATATATTATTAAATTGCAAGTATCTGTTGATTACATGTTGATGTGGAGTTCTACTCCATGCTAGAACATAGGCATGTGGTCTGCAACAGGTGGATCCATCATTCATTCTCAAAGAGTAGTTCAGTTAGTCTTTTTGACTTTTTTTTTTTTGTTTTGTTTGTTTTTTCCCATAAGTCTTTTCGTAAAAGCAGTTTTCACCTCACTGCTGCTTATCTTAGAATAGTTAGCCTTCTCTGAAATGTAAAAGTACGCATTGAAGTTTTTAAACAATGTCAGGTGTCTATAGGCTATAAAGACTTAACAGTTGGTCCTTTAGTATTATTTCCCTGATAACTTCTCTCTAAACTCCGCAGAATCTCATAGTAGGTTAATGTGTGGTTGTATGTTCCTGTTTTCTTTTTTCTTCTTTTTTCCCCCTCCTTTTCTTATTTGGTTCTAAATTGTCTGGTGGTGAATAATTTGGTCTTTGAACATCATTACAGCGACCATTCAGTGAACGGTGGATTATACTTGAAAATGAAGTGATCTGTGGAAGATGAAGATTTATTTCATTACTTTCTGCACTCAATGATTACATTATAGTAGAGATGATATTTATAACTAACACACACTAACTAACTAATTCACTAACAAACACTTCTAACTAATTAACAAACTTTACAACTGTTACAGATATTATAATGAGAACTGCTATCAATATAGGACTGTGATAGACAACATATCAATGCTGATTCTGATGCAGTAGGGAGCTGCTGTGACTGATGAGTAAACTATTGAGATGCCGTTGAGCTACTGCTGTGACTGATGAGGCTTGGAATGAGTGAACTAATGAAGCTTGGACTGAGGGAACTGTGGAAATGCAGAGTCAGTTACAGAGGCAGTTACAGATGGAATCTTATCATGATCAAACCTCGAAACAGTGAGCGTGACTTTTTGTACAAGAGCAGAAATCCATACTACAGATACGACTTGGAGTCATTCAGGGTATGAAAGGGGGAACAAGAGATCATTAACTGCCCTCAATTCTATTTTCAATCATTGCATTCTTTTCTTTTATTGATTATTTATTTTGCTTTGTCAGGTGAGGAGAAAGGATTTTTATTTGCTGTCTACAGTTACTAAGCTTTTAAAGGAATTTATTCCAAGACTTTCACATACAGCAGATGGTCTTATATTCCAGGTTCTTAAGGATTATTTTTTGGTAGCTTTATTAAAAAAATAAATCTGGAACTTTAAATATAATATGATACTGTTCAAACAATGTGATTTTTGCATTCTTTTACTTTTGAAATATCAGTTACAAACACGGGAATGTTCAGTGCATAGGAAATGTGTGTCAAGAAAAGTGATTTTGCACTATTTTATTTTGGAAATATTAATTACTATGCACAAGAACATATTCAGGTGATATTATGTGTTTGAAAATAGAAAAATACTCCATACCCATCCCCCCCCCCAACCCAAAACCCAAAATGATGTGGCGAACAATAAAATGTTTTACTTTGGAAATTCCCAATTGCTTTGTCAAAAGAATATTGCAACATAGTTAGTTGATAGTATGTATTTGAAAAATGTGATTTATTGATGAGATCACACAGCGTGTGACACAAGACGTTGAGTCTAGGTTTACTACGATGATCAAGAACCTAACGGCACGTGTTTTGTTCTTAGAGTCATAGGGTATGGCTGGGAGTATGAGCTTGAGAGAGGTGCAATACTTACAAATTGACGAATTTTACGTTTTTATCAATTTGCATATATACATATGGAAATTATTAACACATTATACTAACATATTGTAGGTGTCAGATGCATCTAGTGGGCAGCAAGCTTCAAAAGAAAATGAATAGGTATGCCACTCTACTATATTTCTGCATGTATTTATGATATTTGCTGTGTATGAAGTTCATGAAGGATATCACTATATTTCCCCATGTATTATGTCGTATTAGGTCTGAAATTTATCCCTAGAGCATATCATATGGACCAAATCTGGTACTGCAAATGGGCTTTCTTCAGACTGTAATCTGATTCAATTGCAAATGGGTTTTCTTCAGGGACATCATTTACCTAGAAAGCAAGTAGCATGCATATGCATAAAGGGTATATCATTTGCTGTGGAATGAGTTCAGACAATCATTGTCTTGATCCATACATTTTAATGAGTAGTTATAATTATCTGAGTACAGGTTGTCACACAATGGAATTTTAATTTATATCACAATTTTTTCTTTGTTATGCTAGAATCTTATTCAAAATACGAATGAGATAAGACTGGAGTTATAATCCTTTATTTTTTAGGGGCTTGGCTCATCTAAATGACACCTCAAGAGGCCTTGAAAATTTGATTGGGCTGCAGGCCTATGAACCGAATACCAAGAGAGAGCCAAGTTCTGTATGCTGATTGACCCAAAAAATAGTGGCCATGTTTACTGAAAATTTGATTCCAAAAGTGATAGCAATAGGCACTATTGTTAGTCTATACAATATTTTAGTGCAGCTGCCTTTATCCCCATCAATGGTAACACAGACTTCTTGCCTAACATGAAATCAAAGCCTTTTGAATTTGTTGCTTTTTAAACTTGGTTGCATCTATAAGTCTTTGTTTAATTGCCACTTGCAGATTGAGTTCAGCTGTGGTGATTCATGACCATCATTTACTATACTAACACTTGTTCCACATTTGGACTTCATAGATTTTACAGCTTAGCTATTATCAAATTTAACATTAAATTTTTTCGATCCATCTAAGTAGCAAAATTCAAATTCCCTTATTGATCAATTACTAGAAGCGGGTCAAATTCAAGAATGATTGTCTTGATGATGGTCATACCAGTAGTTATTTAATTTTTTTTTCCCTTTTGTTTATTTATTTTTATTTTTTGACAACTCCACTAGTACCTGTCACGTGCTAGTAAAATTCTATAGACAAATTTTAGATTAGCCAGATATTTATACATTCTAGCGAAGCTATATACATACCTTGACAGCTGCACATTAGCTTATGTAATTTTAGTTATAGTATGCATTTGAGATTCTACTCTTACGTGCTATATTGACAGGAAGTTCCTTAGCTTTTAGGTTGATAACTTGGAATTTCTGAGGGAAATGAGGATCAACCCAATAAAGGTTGGTTTTTTTAATTTGGCACTAGATTACACTAGTAGTTCTATTATACATATTATAGTTCCCGCAATCCCTCTTGTTTCACTTGTTTTGTTCTGATAACCAGAATTTTGGTTATATTTTCTAGTCTTTCTTATGTTCATCTGACATAGAATAATTATGTGTGTGCTTGCTTACACATGCACATGCACATGCGCTCCAAAAATTAACCCCATGAATCTGGAAGGACTTCTGCTCTCACCTTTATAGTGAAATAATTCATCTTTGTTGCTTGTGACATTTTGGTTGGCATTAATTATAGGTTGCCAAAGCATTAGGGGAAGTGTTTGCTGAAAATATCTTGATGAATATGGGTGCAAGGTGTTATGCCAGTTCATTGATAGAGTGGAGAAACACCCGAGCAAGAAAATTGATGAGAAGATTGGCCAGTTCTGGATTGTATTTTTTTCATAAAAGAACTTTTTTCAAGTTTTTAGTTGTAATAACTTTTACATGTAGCTCAAATTTTGAGACTCAAATAGAATGTTCAATAAAACTATAATGCTATACTGTCTGAATTCTTGTCATTGTTATTCCTAGAGTGCTTAACGCTACACTTTCATTTATTTATTTTTGTTTTTATTTTTAATTTTTTGCGACGGTAACAAGATGGTCGCCAAAGATCATGTTAGTGTTTTTCTTTGTTTTTTGCGACGGCAAAATAGCGGTCGTCATAAGTAGTTTAGGTGGTCGCAAATAATTTGCGACCGTTGTTTTGCCGTCGCAAAAAGTATTTGCCACCCCCATATTCGCGACCCCATTTGCTGTCGCATGGGCCGTCGCAAAAAGTCTTTTGCGACTGTTTTTTATTATTTGCGACGGTTTATAGCGGTCGCAAAAAGTGATTTTTTTAGTAGTGATTCATGGATGAAAAACGCAGTAATTTGGACATAAAGTTATTCTAGTCTAACATTATAATTTAGAGTAATTGCAATTAATTAAATATAATTTTATCATAATCTTTGTTTTGCTACTTCCCCCATAGTTTTGGTGACTGTGACTTATGAACCAGTACATGTACATGTACATTAATGAGATTCAGTATTACCTTGTTGCAGCTCATCTTGGCTTCTGCTACAATAAGAGGAGTCTCTCTATTTTCCCTAGTAAATGATTGTGATTAACAGATAACAGAAGTGAAAACAATTTGTAATTGTTTAATTACTACGGCATGGCATCGTTCGTCTTTAAAATTCTTTCTTTTCTCTGCTTCAATGTACTTTTACTTGTATGAATATGCCTTGAGATTCTCGTATTTTGCTATTTTAGTAGGCTATTTTAGTTTTTGGCTATTTTAGGAGACTAAATTTTTTGTGTTTGGGAAGATAGTTGGATTTTTTTTATGGTTGGATGTGATATTTGTAAAAGAAAAAATGAAATGATTATGGATTTAATGTGACATTTTGTTTTATTGGTTATTTTAATCTATTTTGTCTTTTAGTACTATTTTAACCCAAAAAAACTAAAAAAAAAATTTCCCAAACACCCCCATATATGTCGTGTTTCTAACCAATGCACACAGAAAAAATTTGCAAGTGGGGCAATGCTAACTCACCTTTATTAGGTAATTGAGAGATAAATGATGACGAATCTAATATATTTTTGCAATTTCTTATTTGTCAGCAGCACCATAAGCAATGCCACATGATATACCCACACCGGAACTACCTACAAAAAATATCATGTGACATTACTTACGTGGTGATTCAATAAATGATAAATCATAATATAATACACACTAGTTAAATTTTTTACTATGCCACTAATTAAGAGTATCATATCAATAATGTCATACAATATTCTGGAAACAGTATGTCACGTCTCTCTTTTTATTATCCGAATAACATTACCATATCCATTAACATAAATTCATTTCCATTAAGAACATGCGGAACCATACATGCATTACATCCATAAATAAGTAAAAGTCCTCTCAATTGTACATATATGGAATACAACAGGAATTAAATTTAAACGAAATGTCCATAGGTTTACATCTATACATTAAAAGTAAAGGTTTAACCCTTTTACAACAATGGTGTTCCACCAACAAGTATAGACCCGTGGCCTAGAATTAAGGAAGATCACCGATCTTGAATCATCTCTCTACTTGCACTTGAAAAATGATTAGTAACGTGGGATGAACATAAAGTCCGGTAGAGATTCCAACATGATCCTAAACAATAACAAGATACTGATATCTATGAACATGAATGCACCATGACGTACAATATAAATAATGTGACAGTTTAATATTCAAAATATACTTATGTAAATACATTTTCTCCAAAAACATCCATTTGAACATCACAATGTGTAAAACCATTTGTTTTCTTTCCCATTTATCCAATTTAGTCCAAAAGTATTCTTTCACAACAAAATTTTGTTTCTTTAAACCTCTACGTTAACATAAAAGAATTATGTCTTCACTTTTGTTTTGAAAACACATTCACATATACGAGTCATAACACAATCCCATAACAGGATACCAAGAAACATACATTTCTAAATATAAATATTAAACGTAATACATACTTCCATTTTCACTGGCCTACAATGCGGATGGCAAATAACACAACCCACATAACACATAATGCTTTATTGGCCTCACCTGGAGGGAAACGACCCCAAGGTCACACTTTACCGAGTGCAAACCGGAACGAAGAGGAACCTATCTCAAGGCGCCATGCTTTACTGGCCTCTCGGAGAGAAACAGACCTCAATTTCACACTTTATCAGGCACAAACCGAAAATGAGAGGAACCTTTGTCAAGACGCCATGCTTTACCAGCTTAACTGAAGAGAAATGGAGTTCAAACAATATCAGAACAAACTAGACACATAAATGTTACGCTACTGTAATACATACACATAATCTATTCAATAACAACAGTGCCATCCTCCACCAATGACCAAGGACAAAACCTCTAACAGTTAGATACAAGATTCTTATGAACTAAATTCCACAACAAAATCCACAATTCCAAAACGTTAAAATTTTCAATGAAATCATTTCACCATTAACCATTTTCCCTTTTCGTTTCATAGAAGTGACACCACTTCATTTTGTTTTCAAAATCAAACTCGTTGTTGCAAATCCTCAACACTTCCAATCTTTAACCATTTTTTCTTTTTCTTTAACAATATCCAAATTGTTCTACACAACAACTTACTAGCACAATGCAACAATAACCAAACAAATACAATTAATTCATCTTTAGCAACAAAGACACTAATTTATTCACATGACACATAGTTCACCCATTATCCAACTTTACCCATTTTATAATATTAAACCCTTAATAACAAATTAGGAATTTTTGCCACAATCAACATAGACATAATCAACTACCTCCCAACAAACCAAATCACCCAACAATCATACAATTCCAACTCCCAAAACTCAAGCCCCAAGTCCCCTTTTAATGCTTTTGGAAAATCCCTTAACAAATATATTTTAAATGCAATAAAAATTACCAAATGTCTATCTATAAAGAGGTATTGAAGAGGAGTAAAAGAATCCTACGTCTTGAAGTGAAGAGGAGATAATCCAAAAATTCACCGGCGACAAAATGACGATCCGCTCAGATTAAATGAAAGCCCTCGTCGAGCTCTACGTTTTGGTATATGGAACTAGGGGCCAAAGATGTTAATCAAGGTTAAAGAGCTTGACAACTCAAAAATAACGAAAAAAGAGAAAAGAGAGGGTGTAAAGTGAAGAGATTTACTCAAAAAGTGACTTTTAAAGATCTGATTCTGGACAGACCGCTCGAGCAGTCAAAAGTGCGCTTGAGCGGTGAATCGAGACTTGCAATATCTCAGACAATTTTGAAAAACAAAGTAGAAGGCTCTATGAACTGCTCAAGTTGTGAAACTTGCACTTGACCGAACTATGCACACAACACAGATTCGCAAACTTCACACGGGCATAACTCACTAGTCCAGACTCTATTTAGGGTCATTCTTATGTCTAAATTGAAGGCCCATAAATAAGATTTCCAATGGTTCTAGCCTCATATCAAGATTCAAAATATGGAAAGAGAAAATAATAAAATAAAATAAAAGGTGTAGACTACTTAGTAAAAGCTATTAAAATTTTGAATTTTTAATCCAATCTTGCCCAACCAGAGTGTTACAAAGCAATTAGGAACCAACTCTCAATCTTGTCTAGCAACCACCCCAACTCTAATACAATATAGGTTGGAGAGAAAACCTAGGAAGCACATATACGGATACAAGATATAAATACGATACGGTATAGATAGAATGATATGACGAAACCTAAAAAAATATAATACGGATACAGTTAGGATACGTTTATGAAAAATATATTTTAAAAAAATTATTGGTAGTGAGTTATACATAAACTCAAGAATGCTGAGAGGCCACATTTTAAGTTTATAATACAAAATACTAACCTTTAAGAATTAGATATTAATTTAACGCAATAACTTGTTTATTTCATTTTAATATCAAGTTTAATATGTTTATATTACAATAATAGAACGATCCACAATTTGTTCTTATGCTTTTCCCTTTAGTACTAATAAAAATATTATATTCAAGTTTACTTATTTATTTATAATTTATAATTTTACGATTGATTTATTCTCTTATTAATTCTAACTTTCTAAGTAATTATAAAAAACTTGCATAAAATAATAAAAATACATCAATTTAACATAGTCATTACTTTAACTCTCACTATTTTTTTCTTATCAAATAACTAAATAAAGTATTAGAAGTAAGAACTCAGAAGCTAATAAATGTCAACATCAATTATAGAATTCTTGAGTTTTCCAACTATATTGAATTAGGGAAAAAAAAGAGTCCACACTCTAATGTACAACCCAACAACTTTTACCTCAATAGAAAATATGTTGTTTTCCCACAATTTTGCCAACCTCTAGTTAATTTTCCGTCTCTGAGAAAAAAAATTCTTGGCCTCAATGACTTCAATCTTATCAATCAGCATTAATATTTCCTCACCATCACAACTAATTTCTTGCTTCTCCACCTATCGCCTCTATAAATTCCTCTAGTTTCGTACTCTACATAGACAAAGTTATAGTAGAAGAAAAGACGGTTTCTTTACTTAGGTAAAAAATGTGGTTTGGGAAGAAGAGTTTGATCTTGTATCTTTTGGGGTACTTACTGTTTGATGGCATTGGCATCGTCCATTGCCAAGCTTGGATTCGCCGACATCGATTTGTTGTAAGTACACTTGTGTACGTGTAATTTGAAGTTATGGGTTAATGATCTTAACATCAAATTTCAAGAATTTGAAACTTATGATTAAATATATGGAAATTATATGTACTTGTTTTTTATTACATAAACTTGTTTTGGCAGGTGAAAGAAGCTCCTTACACAAGACTCTGCAGTACAAAGAAGATTTTGACAGTGAATGGGAAATTTCCAGGACCAACTCTCTATGCTCACAAAGAAGAGACTCTAATTGTTGATGTTTACAATAGAGGAAAATATAACATCACTATTCACTGGTATGAATCACTATTCACTTGTTCGTTCGCTCTATTACAAAACACTCATTATGTGGAAAAAACGAGATAGGATTTCAAGACATAGTCTAATGAATAGTGTTTTGAATTGGGATAAGTGATTTGGGCCGCTTTCATTTGTTTAAAAATGAAGCTTGTGGCCATCCAAATAATGGTATGACGCGATGTTCCATTCACCGGCCAGGGATCTTTTGTCTCTAAAATTCATGTCTCATGTCCACCCTTAGAACGTGAAATTCTCTCCGTATCGTGGTATTGGGATGGATTGAAAACAAAGAGACAAATTTTGAAGACAAAATATCATGCCTTATTCGGCAAAGTGATGAGATAATAACAGTTGTACCAATTTTGCAGGCATGGAGTGAAAATGCCTAGGTATCCATGGTCAGATGGTCCTGAATATATCACACAGTGCGCAATCAAACCGGGAGGAAAGTTCAGCCAAAAAGTAATATTTTCCGCGGAGGAAGGGACCCTATGGTGGCATGCGCACAGCGACTGGTCACGAGCTACCGTCCACGGTGCTATTATAGTCTATCCTAAACATGGCACTGTCTATCCTTTCCCTAAGCCCTATGCTGAAGTGCCCATCCTATTAGGTACTCTGAACATCATGTTACCCCATTTCTTTAGAATTGGGTACCGATATTCAAAGATACATCAGCTGATGTTGTCCAATTCTAACTGATATATGATCATATTACCGATGCTAATATGTTATTATATCTTCATGCTATATATGTTTTTGTTAACTATTAGGAGAGTGGTGGAAGCAAGATGTGATGAAGGTCCTCGAGGAATTTGTTAGAACTGGAGGAACCCCAAACGACTCTGATGCATTCACCATCAATGGTCAGCCTGGTGATTTATATCCATGCTCCAAGCCTGGTTGGTTTCTTTTGCCTTTCTTGGTATTTATGTGTTTTTTACAATCAACCTATACAATCAAAGAATTAAGAAAATTATTAGTGCCCTGTTTGGCCAAGTCCCATAAACTGGCTGGAATTTTGAGCATTTGGAGTTGGATATAAATCATTTTGATACAATAAACATTTTGGTATCAGTGTCAATCGATGCATACCAGTACATGTTTATAAATTGCAGGATTTTTGCTAATGCATTTTAAAATTTGTGTTGCCCGCTTTTTAATACGTATCACTTGATATATTTGATACCAGCATCCTATAAAGCTATTTTGAACCATGCTAGGACAAATTATTTTGCTCTACCTAATAGTAATAGTCCATGACCCCCATATGACATTTACACACTACTTGCTATATTAGCTTATACGAAAAGCAGCTAAATTGGATCCTCGAATTATATTGCTCTAAATTGATTTCGCGCCGATTCATTTTTGGTATTAGTTCAAATCGATCAAAACATATTGGTTTTTAAAAATTTTAAAAATTAAGCAATTTATTGATTTTTTAAGTTTATATTTGCAACACTCAATTCGTAATATGTATCAGTCTATTTAGTGATTCATCGCCCTATGTCATGTTTGGACAAATTATTGTGTACCCATACATCTGACATTTTTATCGTGTACTTGTAGGAACATTCAAGCTAACCGTGGAACATGGCAAGACCTATCTCCTCCGCATAATCAACGCCGCTATGAACGAAATCCTCTTCCTCTCCATGGCCAAACACAAACTCACTGTGGTCGGAGCCGATGCTAGCTACACCAAGCCCTTAAAAACAAAGTACATCACAATCTCCCCTGGCCAAACCATTGATGCCTTATTTCACGCCAACCGCCACCATGGCCGCTACTACATTGCCGCCCGAGCCTACTCTGCGGGCAACATACCCATCGATAACACCACCACCACCGCAATAATCCAATATGCCGGAAAAAAATCCACAGCCACTTCACCACCGCTATTTCCACACCTCCCGTACTATAATGACACACGTGCCATGGTGAATTTCACCGGCAGCCTAAGAAGCTTGGGTAGCAAGGACCATCCGGTCAATGTTCCATTAAAAATCACCAACCCTATGATCTCAACCGTCTCGGTCAACACCCTTCCGTGCCATCCCAACCGTACATGCATGGGGCCGAATGGGACCCGATTGGCTGCGAGCATGAACAACTTAAGTTGGGTGAACCCATCCCTTGATATCCTCCAAGCTTACTATTATCACGTTAAGGGCGTGTTTGGGGGTCGATTTCCGAACTTTCCACCATATGTGTTTAATTTTACGGCTGATTATTTTCCGATGGAGTTGGAGATACCGAAGAAAACCAGACAGGTGAAGATTTTGAAGTATGATTCAACCGTGGAGGTGGTTTTTCAAGGGACTAATTTGGTGGCTGGGATTGATCATCCTATTCATTTACATGGGCATAGTTTTTATGTTGTTGGGTGGGGATTTGGGAACTATGACAAATTTAAGGATCCATTGACATACAACCTTGTTGACCCTCCTCTCCTTAACACTGTTCCTGTCCCAAGAAATGGCTGGATCACCATCAGATTCAAGGCTAACAATCCTGGTTAGTGCATGTTTTTTATACTTCATACTAAGAACCTATGATAAGTGCGCAGAAATATTATACACAATTGTCATAGAAAGATGTGACTAATTATAGTATTTTCATTTTAAATCACAAACCCTTCATTATTAATATAATTTGTATATATGTCATTACCACATCATTCTAAAAGTTAATTCTATATAAAATTTTTAGCGATATATGATTTTTCATATGTTATACATAATCAGATTTTTATTACTAGAGACAAAATAATAAATTTTATGTGTATTCACCAACATGAGTTTCATTACTTGTGTGTCTAGTAATAATAAAATTAAATGTCATATAATAATAAATTTAAATAAGAAATTAATTTATAAATAAGGAGAGTGAGTTTCACTCCTAGAACTCATTAAATTGACAAGTCCCTATACTTTTATGACTTTAATTCCAATTGGCTTTATGACTTTATTTTTCTTTTTAAGAACTTTTATGCATCACTTTTTTTTTCGCTACATCGGAAAGAAGTATATATTATATATATGCATCACTTTTGTTTTACAGTTTTAAATCTAATTTCCAATTGGCTTTATATTGATGAACGTTTATGCATCACTTTTCTTTTTCAGTTTTAAATCATCGGAAAAACATGTCAATATATTATTTTTTTATTATTTTCAAATAATAAACTAATGATGGATATTCACGTAAACAGTTATACTAAATGATAGCAAAAAAAAAAAAGAAAGACAAATTACAGAAATGGTCCTTATAATTCACCTGCGGTTTCATTTTGGTCACTATACTTCTAATTGTTTCAATTTTGCTTGTGCAGTCTGGTTTTTGGCTTGAAATGGTCCAATAATTAACAGTGGTTAGACTTTTGGATGGAAATTCCACGTGTGCAAAGCACGCACGGGACAATTTTGACTTTTTTTTACTATTTTTGCAACAATTCAATTTGTTCTCTAATATCATCACTCAAATTTAACTCATATAATAGATGTTTTATTTAATTTTATTATTTAATTATTATTAATTTTTAAATAAATTTATTTAAAATTTTAATTAAAAAAATAACATATATTTTTATTGATATTTTATTTATTTAATTTAAAAAAAATAAATTTATCTAATTGTGTAAAAAATAAAATAATTTTTTTATTTAATCTAGCTAAAAATAATTAAAATATTAAAGATATGTTTAATATTGCTATTACTTAGTAAACAATTAAAAAAAGGGTAAAATAGTCATTTGTTCATTTATCTTATCCAGTCCGTCTGACCAAACGTTAGATTTACTAAAAATAATCATTTTCAGACATCTAATCCCATGAAAAAATAAACACAGGATATTTATTTTTTATTATTAATATATATTTTTTATGAATCCCCCGAACTATTTGGTTGGATTGGATGTGTATCCCGTATTTATTTTCTCATGGAATTACATGTCTAAAAATGACTATTTTTAGTTAATCTAATGTTTACTTAGACGAACTAGATAAGGATAAATGTACAAAAGATTATTTTACCATTTTTCAATTGTTTACTAAGTAATAGCAATGTTAAACATATCTTTAATATTTTAATTATTTTTAGTTAGATTTAAATAAAAATTTATTTTATTTTATTTTTTACACAATTAAATAAATTTATTTTTAAAAATTAATTAAATAAAATATCAATAAAAAATATATGTTATTTTTTAATTAAAATTTTAAATAAATTTATTTCAAAAAATAATAATAATTAAATAATGAAATTAAATAAAACATCTATTAAAATTTAAATAATGAAATGAAATAAAATATAAGAAAACAAATTGAATTGCTGCAAAAATAGTCAAGAAAGCCAAAATTGTTAAAGAAAAGTCAAGAAAGTCAAAATTGTCCCATGTGTGCCTTGCACGCGTGGAATTTCCGTCCAAAAGTCTAACCACTATTAACTATTAGACCATTTCGAGCCAAAACCAAACTGTAGGGGCAAAATTGAAACAATTAGAAGTGCATGAACCAAAATGAAACCACGGAAAAACTATAGGGACTATTTCTGTAATTTGGCCCCAAAAAAAAATTTCTCTTTATTTAGTTGTTTTTTATTTTTTTTGTCTTTTTAATTTTGATAAATAATTTTGTCAATTATACGTAACAGGAGTTTGGTTCCTTCATTGCCATTTTGAGCGCCACCTGACATGGGGAATGGAGACAGTGTTCATAGTGAAAAATGGCAAGCACCACAACGCTACTATGCTCCCACCTCCACCACATATGCCCCCTTGTTGAAGCTATTTTTCCATGGAAAATTCTTCAATACCAATTATATAAATTTTGTCAATTATACGTAACAGAAGTTTGGTTCCTTCATTGCCATTTTGAGCGCCACCTGACGTGGGGGATGGAGACAGTGTTCATAGTGAAAAATGGCAAGCACCACAACGCTACTATGCTCCCACCTCCACCACATATGCCCCCTTGTTGAAGCAATTTTTCCATGGAAAATTCTTCAATACCAATTATATATTATTTTAGCAATATTTTAAACTTTTTTTCTTCTTATTTTTAGTTCTTGCTGTTTGAATTGATTGGAACAATAGTGATTTTATTTTAAATTATACTTGGACTATTTCCCTGTTAATATGCTTTATATTTATATAGATGCAATTTGATTCTTGAACAAGTAATTCTATTCGAACATAATTTTTGACTAAAACAAATAATAACATGAAATTGTCGGTGGGACTCGTATTATATGAAGGTGTGAAGTTTTTTTTTTTCCAGATATTTTTTATCAAGTTTTGATCAGTAGATGCATTTTTATTATTTGGAACAATCATTAGTTTTGTTTAATGACGTGTTATTTACCTTAAAAAAAAACTAAAGGACTCCAAAGGCATTCACTTAGCTTTGTTTAATTACAAAGAAAATTAGTAGAAAATAAAAGTCATTGAAAATGAAGTGAAAGAAAAAAAAATAAAAAAATGTGTTTAACTCCGTTCAATGATTGTTTTGTTTTGAATGTAATTACATAATTAATAAAATTGTTTTATGAGAAAGACAAATTATTATTTTGAAATATATATATATATATACACATATATATTTTATCCACAACTATCAACTGTCAAAAATTCATTCTCGCCAGAAAAGTTGTCAGTCCCAAAAAAGTCATCAAAGGTAGCTGGTGACTAGTGGTAGTGGTAATATATGGACATATAGGTAGATTAAGTTGATAGACAGATGACACGTGAACAGATAGATGAATAGATAAGTAACGCTTGGACAAATAGGTGATACTAGACAAGTAGGTAGACAAATAGCTAACGTGGACAGATAAATAGAATAGTAGTCAAATAGACTAATAAATAAACAGCCTTCACTGTTGACTGCTAAGGAAGAATAGGGAATTGTCAAAGGTTCCCTTTCCTCATTTTTTTACACATTTTTCGTAAAAAGTTAAAAAATTATTCAAAACATTCTAATATTAATATATTTAGGATAAAAGACAGTTTTAATCCATGCATTATTTTTCATTTTAGTTTCAATTTTGTTATTTTTGTCTTCAAAGTTATCAATTTAAGTCAATTTAATAACATGAATGTGGATAAAAAGACAATTTTAGTCCCTAAATTATTCATTTATTGTAATTTAAATCTCGTAAGTTTTAAATTTTTTTATTTTAATTCTCAAAGTTATCAATTTGAGTAAAGTTGGTCATAGTTCAAATTGACAACTTTGAAGATTAAAATAACAAAATTTAAAACTTGAGGGATTAAAATGACCAGAAACTCATATTTTAGGAACCAAAATTGTCTACTATCTAAAGATAAATATTTTTCCCGTTATCAAAGTAAACGAATGTTAGAGATAGAACTAAATTGACAACTTTAAAAACTAAAATCACAAAATTGAAACTTAAGGATTAAAATGACAAATAAAGCATATTTTATCAACTAAAAGTGTCCCTTATCCCATATTTAGGGGGTATTTAGGAAGCAAGTTTTGGGCTAAAATAGCCAATAAAAACAAAATAGGTCAAAATAGTCAATTTATATACTATTATAATTGCAAAATGTTGTCATCTCATTAAGGTTGAAAGTTGCAATTCTTTTTCTCATTTTTTTTTTATTTTTTTAAAATTTTGTTAATACGTGTCACAATATGATTGGTTTATAAATTAATTTTGTTACCCAAGACTTAGAACTAACAAATTTTATATTCTTAAAATAAAATTTCAAATTTAGATTCTTACTTAAATTATGGTGCTATGATTGGAATGAAATCAATATTTTTTCCTTAAATTATGCATCCTTTATTAAATTTTAAATTTAAATTATTCTTCAAATTATATTATTACAATTAAATGAGATGAATAGTCACGTGTGTCATAATAATGTGTCATAGTATTATTGGTCTAAATATAATTTGTTTTAAATACACGTGTTCAAATTATTAATCGCTATTAAAAAAATTATTTTAATTTATTTTTTTAAATTTTATAAAAAGTTTATATCCTTCTAAATCATAAGGATTTGAATAATAATATTTTTTAATATACATTTTTTTTAACAAAAGACAAAAATATTAAGAAAATGAATAATTTTTTTAACACTTGCCAAACATGGTGGATTCTGTTAATGTTTTTTTTATTATCTACATTGTCAATTAAACAAATTAAAAAACTAAAAATATTTTTGGATTCAATAGTTAAGAAGTGACTTTTGCTAAAATCAAATAGAAATAATTTTTTTTAATTATTATTAAACGTGATGGTTGGTAAAACTTATTTTTTTATAATAAAAAAATGAGAGTTACATGTGATAATTTATAGTTCATTTACACTTTGTCAATTAAACAAATTAAAAAAATAAAAATATTTTTGGCCTCAATAGTTAAGAAGTGACTTTTGCTAAAATCAAATAGAAATAATTTTTTTTTAATTATTATTAAACGTGATGGTTGGTAAAACTTATTTTTTTATAGTAAAAAAATGAGAGTTACACGTAATAATTTATAGTTCATTTACACTTTTTTAACACTTGTCAAATATGATGGATCTTGTTAATTTTTGTAATCTCAACTGTCAATTCAACAAAACAAAATAAAAATAAAAATATTTTTAGCTCAAATTGCTAAAAAGTAACTTTTGCTAAAATAAATTAGAAAAAAACGTTATTTTTCTATTAAAAGTGATGGTTTGCGATTTTTTTTTATTTTATTTTATTTATTTTTAAGTGAGAGTTATAAGTGATAACTTATTGTTCATCTAGAACTATTTTCAAATTAATTGAGAATACTATATTAAATTTTCTTCCAACCCTTTTTTTATTCAAATACTTTTATTTTTTAAGCAATTTATTTTTATTCTATTTAATATTTTATTGTAATTTTTAAATTAAAAAAATTCTGAAAATTCATATTTAAATTATTTTATGCTGTTTTAAAAACTAATTTTTTTAATATCAACTTATTTAATGATCCCTTTGTAAAAGATGCATTTTTAAAATATTTGTAAGAAAAATTCTATTGGAAAATATTAAGTATATTACTTTTGCTTTTGTTTATTAATATTAAATTTTAATTAATTTTATATATTATTTAAAAAAAATGTCCAAAATAATTTTATGTATCTATATATATAATTTTGTTTTGGTTGCTGAGGTTATTTGGTGTCTTTGTCCAAACCTACTCAAATTTAATTAGACGAATTACACTAACAGTCCCTATAGTTTGGGGTTCGTGTCATTTTGGTCATTGACTTTTCAATTGTGACACATTTGACTTTGAATCTTAAATTTTTTTCCAAATAAAGACAATTGAAGATACCATTACTTAATTTTAAAGGCAAAATCTTCAATTTGATAAAATATAAACTAATTTGATAAAAGTAAATGTCAAAAAAATATTTTGAATTTTTTAAAATTATTTCTACTTATCAAAGATAAAGTTATGTAAAATTAATAAATCTTTTAAAAATTTATTTCTTTATTTATTTTACCAAACTAATTTTTATTATGTGTTTGGATTTTGATCATATAATGGGTGGTTGTTAGGATTTTAATGTATAATCGATATATTTAATATATGAAATGTTTTTAGTTTTAGATTTTTTGATTTAATCGATTGGTTTAATAATGATATCAAAGTTGTCGTCATATTTGGCTTTTGAAAAAGTAGAAACTAATTTAACGAAAATAAAAATAACCATCTATTGCATGATCATCATCCAAACACATAATAAAAATTAATTTGGTCAAATAAATAAATAAATAAATGTCTAAAGATTTATCAATTTTACATAATTTTATCTTTAGTGTGTAGAAATAATTTTTAATTTTTTTTTTTAAATTGACATTTATTTTTTCAAATTAATTTATATTTTACCAAAATTTACCCACCCCAAAAGACTTATGGGACCCAACCAAATTTGGCCTCCAAGTTGACCCAAAATAAGCCTGTAAAACCATAAATTCCAACAATTCCCCACATGAATGGAGTTTGACAGAGAGAAAATACAACAACATGATATAATTACAGAGAGTACATAAATTAGAAATATTCTGCAAAGGACAAGTAGCTTTTGGCTTTAAACCTTCTCTTGTGAGACACTATCAGATTTACTAGCTAATCAGTGAACATAATGTCTTGAACTGTTCAGTCGTTTGTGTAAACCAAGATAATAGAACTCACACAGTATATTACCAGGCACAGTTCAGTTCTCACTATTATGTTCATTTTGGCTCTAAACAACATGGTCATTTATGAGTGCTCTAGAGAATTGTAACTCTTCACAAATTTCATAGAACCGGTCCAGTTCACACTCATATAGGTGATTTTTATGAAGAGTATCCTGCCATACTCCACTAGGTATTCCTAGATATAGGAATCATTAAAAGTATTACTTAACCTAAAACGCTACAGACATCACTATTTCATCATAGAAATGGGTAGGAATTTGACTCCCTAGTGATCCTTATGAGTCATACACAACTCGGCTGTCCTTTTGAACCTAGATCTTGGGATCTCCAGTCAAATAGGTTGGGTTACCATTGTGATAACTCTTATTTAGTAGGCTTAAGTCTCATTCCTCTCGATAAATTCTCAACTAACTCTCTTCCTAACCCTTTGGTTAGTGGGTCCGCTATATTGTCTTTAGACTTCACATATTCAATAGAAATAATTCCATTATAGAGTAGTTGTCTCACGGTGTTATGTTGATGACGAATGTGTCGTGACTTACCGTTACACATATGACTATGTGCTCTACCTATTGCTGATTGACTATCACAATGTATGCAAATAGCAGACAGTGGTTTTGGCCACATTGGAACATCTTCAAGGAAGTGGCAAAGCTATTTTGCTTCTTCCCCAACTTTATCTAAAGCTATAAACTTTGATTCCATAGTAGACCTAGCAGTGCAAGTCTGTTTGGAAGATTTACAAGATACAGCCACCCCCACCAAGAGTAAAGGCATATCCACTGAGAAATTTTGAGTCTCTAATATCCGATATCCAATTTATATCACAGTATCCTTCAAGTACTACTAGATATCTCCTATAATTTAGCCCAATATCACGAGTAAATCGGAGATATCTTAAAACCATTATAATTGCTTTCTAGTGTTC